TATTTCCGTAAGAAGGCGAAACAGAACTGGAAGAGACGCGCACGCTTTCGAGGAACATGCTGAAATTGACTGTGGAAGAAATGGAGCGAGAAAGGCGAGTAAATGCGTTGAGGGTTCCATTCCTGAGCGCCCACTTGATCCCACTAGATAGCACAGACTCCCTTACGCGAGATCGAGGAATCACAGACTTTTCCTCGGATATTGTCGGCAAGAAGCAGACTTGCCTATAAAGGAGCATGAGCAGGTCATGCAGCCCGTCAGTACGCCGCGAAAAAAAATCTCTGTATCGGATCCTAGATCTTCCTGGAACCTCGCCTCAGAGTCCTCATTCACGACATTTCAAAGTGCAGCGGCAAGCGAGGGCATATCGAGCAGCTTTCTCAACAACAGGTCAGACTCCGGACCATACACAACAAGGATCTCCACAATCGTAGACCAGCCTAGACTGCCTACTTAGTAGACTCGCGTCCGAGTGGTGATTGTCAGTGAAGGTCAGCGTTTGTTTACACGAAATCACAACCGTGACTGATAGTCATTGATGTGACCATGCTATCCTTTGACTTGTCCTCGACCCTGACGAACGCCAGCTGTCGCCAAATATTGGCCACCGGCTCTTGCCGGTTTCCCTGCATTTCGCGACATTCTCGCCCTTTCAATTGAAATCACTCGACCGGACTCAAAGTGCTTCTGTTTCAAGTTGGTGGACCTCCGTTGCCTCAGGGTCTGATGAATCACGTTTCCAGGAACGGAGCGCGAACACTAGAATTTAAACCATTTATGTTGCGACATGGATCCCAGAGGTATTGCTGAAACACAGATTCACAACTGATTCTGCGCGAGGAATCCTGATCACTTACCAGGTGGTACGCTTACTATGCGGCTGCAGGATATGCTGATTTCGTTTATGTTATGTTAACGGCGGGAGCCTATGCTAAGTCCGGTTAACTAATATACAACATCATCCCCTTCACCTTCGGCGCTTCTGGTTGCATTGCAGTCAGGCATTCTCAAAACCCTCCTCATTCTCACCGCAAACTACTTGATTGCTAAGTTTCCGATGGTTCAAATTAGATCCTTTCCGAAACCCGGATCTTCAAGATATTCTCCCATCGCTTGCTACTTAGCCAGGTACATCTTATCGCGCTTCCTTAACGTAACGGCCGGACGCTTTCGAAAAAATGTACACTCCATGTCGTGGCTATGGGCTGGCAACACACCCGCTCAAGTTGCCAGGATCGATTTCTGGAATCTCTGACTGAAGGTCTGATTTTCTTCTTCTGGCGGTCCTTATTATGTGGCGATCTTCCGGCTCTGGGGTATGCCTGACGGAATCCAAGTGCCGGTAAATGTGGTGCGGTGTATGTCGACGTCTGGATTCTGGCGAGGATTGCATCAGTAATTTGTGCTGTCGCGGTGAGATGTTTCAACCATTGCTGCCCCATTCACCTATGTAGCTCAATGGCGTTTTGCTCAACACCTTGCTGGTCTTCATGTTCCTCGCTTCAACTACTTGCTCGGTGTCTGTTTCTGAAAAGAAGATGAAATTCTCACTCTTTCTGACGGCAGAATTGAAGCGACATCAAAAGTATGCGACGAACTTCGAAGTTTGAATCTCGCAGTTGAACCGACACCGCAATCACGACCTTCAACATTCTGATGATGGGCGCGAACCTGCGCGAACCTCGTTGTCGACCTAGACGGAATGCTTGCGAACTGCGCTGAAATGTGGAACAATTGACTGCTACTGCCGAAGGTTCGCATATATGATGGTCCACCGCGCTAGCTGATTTGGGTCCTCCCTTTGTCCCTCTGCCGCCGCACTTGATTTTCGAGTATCGGTGCGTTCATCGCCCTCTTCTCTCTAAATTCCAATATCATTCCGTCCGCGTGTAGCGAGGGAAAGGTGTAAGGGGATACTACACTATCCCAACCGACGTTGTTGCTATTTGGTCTCAACGGCGACCTTCACGATTAGCGTACTGCTCGCAACCCTTTGATCCTGTCAGTCGCTTGACATTTGATTTCGTTATTCTTTTTTTTTCCCGCGGTCCGACCGCTACCTGAGGTCGAGGTCGAAGTTCTCGTTGTTCGCCGCTGCATTCAGCGTTGCGAATGATGACTACTAGATTGTTGACGTTGAAGTGACACGCCACTTATACTATCGCGAACGCCGCTCCGATTCTTCTCTGTACCCAAATGGAGCTTGCGGGCCCACAGGTGCACAAGTTCACGGCAGCGGTAACGTTGTCGTATTTTACCAGCACGTTTCGTTAATTACCAGGTTTCGCTCTCGGCAATGAGCTGAATCTCTTCTCTTCTTCGTCTCATCTTCGTTCGACATGGCCATCGAGGTGAGCGTCAACAAGGTGTATTTCTGCGACACAATGACCGATTCATGATGCAAGTGCGCACCCACGCAAGCAACGCTGAGCATCGACTTCCTCGTTATTGGCGCTGGTGTTTCGGGCCTTGCGTGCGCAATAGCCCTGCGGAGGGTTGGCCATAGGGTCGTTGTTATAGAACGAGAGAAGGAGATTGGGGAATCTGATGTACGTCTGTGTCCTACGGGTTCCGCCGTTTCTCAAAGTCTATGATCAGGCGTCTCGGGGGGTCCGCTTGCCGCCGAACTTGAGTAAAATCTTGTACCACTGGAATCTGCGGCCAGAAGTGTATTCGGTTGCGGCAAAGTCCAAGGCTATCCAGATTTCGCGCTGTGGGTTTTGCTATAAATATCCCATGCTGTCACTGACCGCATCTAGTGGAGACGGGAGTTCTACTCGGAAAGCATTATTGGGATGAAGAGGTCCTTCGCGAAACACGGGGAGAGTTTCTCTTCGCGCATGCAAGTTATTCGATGAGTCTGTTCCACACGAACTAAAGAAAAATGCAGCTTGCGGATCTCCGGAAAATGATGTATGATGTCGCCGTCAGCCAAGGCGCTACAATTCACCTCGATACCACTGTGGTAACCATTGACCCTGAGCGACATACAATTACTCTCGATTCTGGGGAAACACTCAGGGCCGATGTAATCGTCGGAGCTGATGGTGTTTCTGGCCTCGTACGACCGTTGCTATTGGCAGAACAAGACATTCAAGAGGCCTCGGAACCGTCTTTGTGCATGTACAGGTAAGATGAGATTATCATTTTACGCATATCAATTCTAATGGTCATTCATAGTGCCATCGTACCCCAAGCCATGGTAGAGAAGGACCTTCAATCCAAGAAATTCTTCCAGACAGAAGTTGTTCGTCTCCAAATTTCCGACGCTCGATCGCTCATAATGAATCGGTCTAGGTCACCATGTTCTCTTTCTTCGGAAACAACCAATCTGTCATCAGCCACCCCATCGTAACCCTCATTCATTTTAGGCTTGCGATTTTCGTTAATGGCGACTGATAGGGTGGCTCGCCTTCATTTACCTTCTGCCTGTATCGTTCATCCGACGATTTTAAGGATGCGCCAGCGGATGGGATGCACAATGCCTTGAAAACAGTGGAACCCAGGTAAGTCTGTGGCAAAACGTCCTTCTCGTGCTGATCACGTTCAGGTTGAAAAACCTTGGTCCAATGATTTCGCACCCGCGACGTTTTCCAATATTCGAGCATCCAGCTCTCGAGGACTGGGTGGATAGACACGGACGCTTGGTTGTTGTCGGCGCTGCGGCCCATCCTATCCCAGTACATACCTTTTCTTCGCGAAACGTCCCGAACTCACTTTTCTTCAGGCGGGATCCACGCAGTACTATGCCATGGGTCTCGAAGACGGCGCTGTCTTGGCGAAGCTCTTCTCGCACTTGAACACTCATAGTCAAATCAGCGACTTTCTTTACGCGTTCCAGGAACTCCGGCAGCCGCGTTGCGAATCAGTGCTTGCTGCAGAGACCGGCATTATCCATTACATGAGTATGCCCAATTGCCCAGATCAGGAGATCCGCGACCAGGCCTGGATGGCCAAGACTGCGGCAGATACCGATCTCTTTGAGGTATCCGACGGCGAAGAAGAAACGCCCGAGTGGAAGGAAATCAAAGACGTCTTCGGGTACGACGCCGAGGATGAGGCAGATAATTGGTGGGTGACTTGGGGCCTCCTGAAGCAGAGATCTCTGCAGCCTCAGTAAATTAATTTATGTTGGTGTCGTTATTTACTATGTTTACGCCGCGATAGCGGCGATAATTTACCGCGTTTAATACATTCTGCTAAAACCGTTGAGCTGCTAAATTGACTTGTTGACTCGACATTTTCAAGGTTCACTTCATCACCTTGCGCATTTCGCGTGTCAGCGATTTCAATTTAAAGTGGCACTCAATTAGGCACAATCAGCAAGTTAAATGGCACTATCGCATCGAAGACTTGCTAAACAGTAAGGTCTAGGGACTCATGATGGGATACAGTATCCGTATACACTGTTTTTCAACCAGTCCAGATAGATTGTATCATTGCATCAAAAAGGGGAAATATTAACCCCTGCACCAATTCGGATATGCCCAAGACCCTTTCGTCCGTGGTAAAGACACGGCATAAATACTCCTCTTATAGCTGTAATATACTCTGTATACCACATGCTCTCCATGTTGTGTGGACAGCACCAGTGAGACTCTGAATCAGATACATCACTCTGATCTCCACTTTTGACCGGATTCACTGCTTATGTATTGTGAGTCTCTCCGAATTGGTATAGGGTCAATGTTGGCTAAGTGTCAGGCATACTGGCTTATTATGTTGAACTCCATGACCTGAACAGCATAAAATTATTTTCGCTTCCATGTCTTTGTGAGGTACATGTCCACTTTCTGAGCTCGGTCCGGACTAACGCAAACAACTGTGGATCACTTCACTTGGGGAACTTGAAGCACCACTGATGCCCCACTGATGCCGGCTGTTAAATTTCGAATTTCAGCTCGACTTGGTGCTTTTTCGCCGTTTTTTTTTCACGACCCAAAGTTGGGATGGGCATGTTGACATAGTAACATATTCCGTTCAATGTCACACTTCATAACTCCGAATTGGTGTAGGGGTTAACATTGCCGCCTCTCAGTCTTACGTAATCTGAAACGCGGCAGCCCGGGGTTCGATTCCCCGATTCGGAACTCTTTTTGAGCCCTTTTTCCCCCCTTTTTCCCACTTCTTCCTCCAGGGATGGTGTCGGTCTGCCTCAATCGGTTCTCAAAAATCCCGAGATTGCCCTAGACTAAGTTCTATCTTCTGGCCCTCAGAAAACATATTTTAGTTTACTTGCTGTAAGTCGGATAAGCACGCTATGTATCACGGTAAGGTTCGTTTGTCGGAAAAACACCGATCTGCACAAAACGGCTCATCAGCTGTGATGAGCGGTCATAATCATCATATGCAAAAGGCTGCTCATAACGAACACTGAAGGCAGATAAGTGGTCATGAGTCTCACGCGAGGCGGTCGTAAGTAGTCTCGAGCAGTCATATTCGAAGGGGTTTCGGGCCATTTTTTTTTAAAAAAAAAAGCAGCTAGATTACTACGAATCTCATACAGAATACTTTAATCTACTTCATCTTCATCCTCATCATCCGACACAGTGGGCATGTTAAGCATCGCATCTGTAGCATCCTCTATCTCCCCCCGATCCTCCTTGGAATCCTGCTGCACACCGCCGCCGTAATGAGAACCATTGGTCGATGGGGAGAGGTGGCTGTCCCACACGCACCGCCTGCGCCAGCCATGCGTGTTTCCGGAATGGCATCAGGTCGTCGGGGAGGATGTCGAGGACTTCTCGCAGCTGGCCTTGACGGATATCGTCGTCCGAATTGAACCGGAGCTCGGCATTGTACTCATCGTCAGGGTCGGCCTTGAAAAATGCCTCGTAGTCATTGTCGGCGAGGCAGAGCCAAAGTCTGCAGAGGATGACGAACTTGCGGCCAGTTTGCTGCACGCGAGTTTCGAGTTCTGTGGCGGTAAGCTCTATGGTCTGCTCCTCAATCCCTTCGGTTCGGCGATCGCGGGAGCGACGGCTGCGCTTGTTGGGCCTACTGGCCTCGTTCTCGACGTCGATGAGACGGTGCTCCAGGTGCTGGACGACACGACCCTCATCGTCGACGGATGCAGAGTTTCGCACGAAGCTGCAGGCAATCAGTAAGGATTCAGCAAGTAAGGAATGGTTGCGCACCTCGGCGAGTTCCCGGCCACTCTTACTCGACGTACACAAGAGGATAAGATTTTTTAAATACGCAATATGGTCGCAAGAAGTATCGGGAGTGCCGGGGGGAGATGGCGAGTCAGGCCCTGGTGATCGAGAATGAGAGAATGACTGAGACATGGTTTACATGGCGCACCTAGCAAGGTAACAGGCCCTTATAACCATCTCAGTGTTTAGGGCCGCTGGGTGGGTGCGTCAGCGTCGCGGTGGAGTCGCGGTGGTGGTTGAGAGCAAGGTGGAGTACCGTGACTGAGCTGTGACAAAAGTGACATCATACTTTCCCACTCTTCTCCAATATTAATTCCTTTCGATTAAACTGCTATCTTTACACTGTATTTGCACCTGCTGAACATCTTGAAGTATGTCAAGAAGCTACATATCACAGTATTACGAGTGGGGCTCAAGAGTGCTGATAACCAGTGCCCCCAGCTCAAGACCCCTCATAACCCACACTGGTCGGGTCATAAGCAGTCTTGAGACCGGGAGCCGTCTTAATCCGTTATGAGCAGATCAGCATTTTTCCGACATTGAACCTTTGCATGAACCTTGAAGGTCTTGATACTGTCAATGCATTCAGATTTCAAACTTTTGAAAAGTCGACCCCTCCCTCCATGACCTAACATGTAACCCCTGCACCAATTCGGACAGTCGAAACAATGTCCCTGCGCCACTTCTCGATGGCTTTCCCTCTGTGGCCATAGACAGCGATTACGAGATACATTATTTATAAGCTACTGAACAGGATGGGGAATTCACCATACTTATTCTGTGCGAGTCCCTTTGAACGCGTTTACTTCTATTGTGGGTCGCGTCGTACACGTGGGCGTGTCTCAGAGTCACGGCATTCCCTTATGTAACTAGGTCACTTGCTTTCAACACCTGTTCCACGACGATCCCTATGAAAGGCCTGACAGAACTAAACTTAGGACCGCGTTTCAACCCTTTCAGTCAAGTCTCCTGTTCGACCCCTCCGTCCTTTGCGGCGCGGTTGAATTGCGCTTGAAGGGTCGTACGACCGAACCTAGAGCTTCCTCGTTTCACTGCTGCAGGAATACAATCGCTTTTTTAACCGTCCCACACGATGCCAAGTGAAACTGCAGTCGCTACCGCTATATCTTGTCAGCGTAATTAATGACATCGGCATACCCACGTGTCGCAACATATAAACTTGGAAGCGCGCCAAGAGATTCCTTCAGCTCTTTGCCTCCCCCGCAAAGTTCTTTCTCGGCCTCACGATCCTTTAATTTACCCCACATTCTTTTCCAATGCGTTACTCTCGCCTCGCCCCGGCACTTTCACTCCTTTTCACCCTCGTCAAGGCGCAGACTCCTGCGTACGTCTTTTCTTTTCTTTTTTTCTCTTTTCTGTGACCTCGGCTGAAAGAACGCCTCAGGTACCTTGGCGAGCTGCTCATTGAGCCCGGTATCAACAATGGTGAGCTCGCTGAAGCGGAAATTCTCCTAAAATCTCATCTCCTTGCTTAGGGAAATGTCTGACGGCCGCCTCGAACACCGACGGCGCCATCGTCACGATCCAGACCTGCACCGGCGCCGCGGCCCAAAAATGGACCTTTACGGGAGGCAGCCTGAAAATCTTCGGCAACACCAAGTGTCTCGACGTTACCGGCGGCTCGACCACCAACGGTAACACGCTCCAGATCTGGACTTGCTCGACCAATAGCAATCCTAACCAGCAGTTCTGGTACACCGTACGTGTCGCGTGGATGACGGATCTGGCGGGCGACTCAGTATTTATTATTTTCCAGGGCGATAATCACCTCTCGTGGACGAACCACGGCAAGTGCCTAGATCTCACCGGGGGAAGTCAAGCCGACGGCAACCGCGTAAGCTATCTGTTTCTCTCATCTTGCATTGACGGGAATTAACGCCTCTTGTCGTAGCCTCAAATCTGGGACTGCAGCAACGGCAACTCAAACCAAGTCTGGAACGTCGGCTACTCCGCGAATGCTCTCCCCGCCACCTCGGAGAACGGCCAATCCGGAACCAACGCCTGCGGCACGACCTCGAGCCAGACCTCCAAATGCCAGACGGCGTGGATCAAGTGCGTTTCTCCTCTCGCTGCCTTCATTCACAGCTAACGACTTGAATGTAGCTCTGCGGACGACTTCTGTCTCTGGGCCCCGGCTTCGGTGGGCACCATCGGCGACACCGAGCGCGATGAGGTCGCGTGGTGCACCAAGTCCGGCCGCGGCACCCGCACTATCCCCGACGGCGCGCTCAAAGGTGTGCACTTCGTCAAGACGCCTGACTACGTTCAGGTACATATTTGCTCTTCTACATAACGTCTTCGTCCTCACCCCTATGCAGGTCACTGGCGTCGGCGATTTCACCAAGCTCAACATCCCCGGCGGCGATTCGTGAGTGCAGCAGCCTCTCGCATCCTTCGATTATACTCATGCATCCCACCCACAGCGGAGGCGAGCTCGGTTAGTCTGGCAGCTTTGCGTCCGCTCAGGCTGTCTGTCTGTTGCTTATTTTAATTTCTCCCCTCCAGACCCCCACGGCGCTGACGGCAACGGAAACCCCAGTGCGTCGTCCTCGTCTTCAGCTCTCGCTGTAATCGATCTTGACTGACATTGACCCTGCGTGCAGTCGGCGGCCTTGTCTACGGTAACAGCTTCGGCACGGCCCTGCAGTACCATGAATGGACGAGCTTCATCTCCGACACCCAGTTCTGCTTCCGTGCGTGCGTCGGGCCCAATGCGGCGCGCAATTGCCAGCACATCTACGATGTCATGGGCTGCTTCTGGGTGCGTCGCGCGAGTCGGTGAAGTGAACAGGCGCTGATCATATGCGAATGCAGAACATGCCGGCGAACTACGACGCAGGGACGTATGAGAACTGCGATGCGGACGATGAGTGCGTATCTCCTTCCGTTTTACCCTCCTCTTCCCTTCTCTTCCTTTACCTCCTCTTTTCTCCTTCCCCCTCTTCTTTTCCCCATCCCCGTCCTCCTTTCCCCTTTCCCTCCTTCCTCCGTTCCCCGGACCAATGCTCATTCATATTCGCACTGCAGTCTCCCAATGGGCGTCTACGGCACTTCGACGTGGCACCAGGGCACAAGCCCCACGCCGTCCGCGCACCCCGTCGCCAAGTCGTCGAACTGCGTCAGCCTCCCGAGCATCACCGTCGCCCCTGCGAAGCGCAGACGCGACAGCGGGTTCGAGTATGTGCGTGCGCCGGAGCCGACGCCTGCGCCGACGCCTGTGCTGGCGTGAGGGTTTCAGGGTTAGGACTCTAGGGACAATGTTGTTGTGGATCCTTTACACTCCTACACACACACGGACATGGACTGGTTATATGGATATTTAGTATTAGTTTGAATAATTGATGTATGGAATCGACATCGTCTCCGTCCCCTCCAGTAGCGCAGTGAGCTTGCGCTATTTTTTGGGATTCGTATCTTTCAAGACTGAATCTGTCCATCATTTTCTGCTTCCCTAGACTCACATCAGCCTTACGGTTTCCAGTTCCGTTTGGTACCTCTCGATTGAAAAGTCACCAGATTCGCCAATCGCGTATACGAAAGGTACTTGTTATCGAAACGTAAATACAGAAGAGACCCTTCCCGAAACCTCGAGATACAGATTGTTCGGAAGCGAGACATCGAGATGATCGTTCTACGCGGGGCGACGTGTCGGCCCTCGGGCAGAGGATCGGCCGTAGAAACAAACGGAGAAAAGTCCCTAGGAACGGCGTGAAATGGGGCATCGCTCATAGTCGCGACAGTGAACAGGACTGATCGGTACCTGGATCCAAGAAGAATCAGAAAATACATCACAAATTTGGAAAGGCACTCGTACCAGCAAACGCTAAAACGGGTCAAAAGAAATCCCCTCGTGCCTTTAAAGCGTTGAAATCCCGATAATTCAGGAGTGCAACATTGAATCCCCCATCTTCAAC